GGGAAAGCTCTTTCAGTATTTGTAAAAAGGACAGCCAAATAATGGTTACAGAAATAAGACTGCAGATTTTAATGAACGGTTTGAACTGTTTTCTTTTCTTACAGAGTCTGTCTCCACTGCCAGAGAGCTTGAATGACCTGGAAGTGTACACAAAAAGTTAGAAATTGAAATCAATTTTTCTCATTATTTTCAGTTTACTATCACCACTTACTCCACAAAATATTGACATTAAATTACAACAAAAAATGCATTCCTTTCAGAGAAAAATCCAGTTGCGAGCAAGACGGTAGGTCCTTCTGCTAGAAGACTGTTACTCGCTGTAAGTCACAATAGTAAGAATTCAGTGAAGGTAAGTGAGAGGATGGGTGTGGACCAGCTAGGCAAATATTGGCTGAACTCTGCCTACCCTGGCTAATGTCAGACCAACTCCAGTAGCTGAGGCTAACTGCCTTTAAACATTCGTTCAAGAACCTATCAATTTGTCTATCAGACAAGTTTACTCTGAACCACTGAAGGAAGCAGGAAAGCATAAGGAATTCTGTCACTGGAAGAAAGTTTTAACTCACAGGAATTTTGATAGGGAAATCTAAGACACATTTTAGCCTAGTATATGTTGAGTAATAACTAATGCAGAAACTTGCTTCCTGATACCACCTTTTGGCTTGCCCTCTTACAAGAGTTCAGTTGACTTTGGGCGAAAATGTAGCAAGAAAGCCATAATCTCCATCGCAAAACAGTTCCCCCTCCCAGACACCCTCCCCAACAAAATGCTGAACAGCAGACTGGCCTAGGTGGCCAAATTCAGCAGCAAGGAAAACCACAGCTCATTTCCTTAGCCAATGCAGTGCCAAAAGGAAAATTCTGTGGGTTTAGTAAGCAAGAGATAATTTACCAACCATATAAAAGCTGGAAAAATGTAATAAAATATTAGCTTTCCCATCTTAGCCAACTAAACCCTTAAAACCGTTCCCATTTATTTAATTTGAAGTATTGTTTGTGGTTTGTAACCCTTTGAAACAGTCCAAAGCTTGTAAAGATTAAGAAGTGGAAAAGAATCCCTAAGTCAGGTTATAAAAGTTTTTGGACTTTATCAAGTTCCAATAAATTCAGTTACCTTCTGGTCCTCCGTCCTGAAGCAATTCTTAACATAGTTGGCAAATTTGGGTTCCAGCTTAGGAAGGGAAGAACCCTGTTTTGAAAAAAGCAAGCTTTAGTGTATGCAGGTCATTTAATCACGCCAATAAATAATTTATGAAGCTTAAACCCCTTGCAATACACATGGAATTTTACTGAACTCACCTTGCAACATTCCAAACCAATCTGCTTTTAAACCATTTTAAAAGGTTTGCTTCTCTACAGCACCCAGGTATTTCTCACAGGAGTGAGTGCCTACACACTAAAATGGCTGTACAAGCATCTCTGCTGATGGCTTAAAACACAGCAGCAAGCATTCACTGCTTAAGATAACCTTGTTTGTAGTCCACATTCATACGCTCTTCAGGTAAACTAGAACTAATTCCATATTTATGGATTCTTAACTACAGCATGCAACCTGAGACATTACTATCCTTCACAGGTAGGGTTTCAACTTCAGCTCTCTAAAGCAAAAAATGAACTGATTTCCCACCTAACCTTTAAGACTCATCCTAATACATTAGCTCTATGAATTTAAAGAACTGTTCTAGAGACATTTGCTTGTATCTCTGAAATTGTCTTTGTACATATTCAAATGTACAAGGCAGATTCAGTAATTCATGGATCTAGGTTTATCTTAGTGTCTTCTCCTATCTCCAGGCAAAATACAGCAGCACACTATTTTAAGAGACATCAATTTACCTTCACATGCCCCATGAGTCATATTCTTCCCGTTTTTCAGGTGCATCAGTTGAAATATACCTAGCCAGTTATGACAGTACACTTTGCTGCTACTCAGCACACTGCAGAAGACCGCAATTTTATGTTCAAAGCAAACAAAGCTACATTAGGAGTATCTGAAACTGCAATGCTGCAATCAAGAAGCTTGGATTGGGACGAGTCTTACCCCTGGATTCTGACAAGTACTGATGCTTTTCCAGTAGCTTGTTGACATATATTTACTACATAATACAGCAATTCCACTCTAATAATTTAATAAAACAATAAAGTGATTTTTTTTTAAAGCTGCTAACTTGCTAGCTGTCAGCTGGAAGTGCTGTTGTATTGGCAACGCACAAACCTGTTGCCTCACTAAGGTATGCTCTAGCACCATCTTGGAAAACATTAAATTAAGCTGCCTGCTATTGCTTCTACATATTTGTGCTTACACAGCATTTCCCAGGAAAAACTCTTCAGCAACAGAAAGTATATTCTACAGCTACTTGCCAGTTATCTGGTCTGCATGCTTCCCTCCATAGGGACATCTGTCTACTGCGAGCAGCTCAGCCACTTCTGCTTACACTGCAGAAACAACAGTAATCGTGGCTCCTCTGAGTCATGCAGAAAACCACCCTAGCATCCACTAGATCCAAGAGGTTAGTTTGACCTAGCAGAATGATACCATCCATCACTGTCAGCTTCACAATTTAGGGATATGCACTTCAATCCTGATCACAATCTGTCACTGCTCACTCTGCATCCACTCTATATTGAAACACTTGTCTTATTTTGTATTCCTGGGACAAAACTGCCTCAAAACATCAATCTAAGCAGAAGACAATGCTCATTCTTTAGATTACTTGATTGCCAGTGTAAGGGGAAAAAAGTTTATCATCTCAGACCAAACTAAAAAAAACACCCCAGAATTCTTCATAGCCCTGACATCAGTGTAGGCTTTAGCCAAAAATAAGTTTCCAATAAAGAATTTGGTTCAGTCACAAATGAGCATATGATCTATGAGTACGCTCCTGAGCTAGATGTCAGGTCCTCACTGCCACCTATTCTGCCATAGATGTGCGTACTGAACTTCACCCCTAGCTAGCACACAGGTTTCTAAACTTTGCTAAGGGGGAAAGAATTGCTATTACCTGCTACGCTTTTACCCAACCAGCCTGTAACTAAAATGCAATTTTCATTTTTATACTTAAATAGTAGCTAAAATTGCTATTCTTATGCATAACCATGAAGTGCTAGTCAAAGCTGATAGCAACCAAAAGCCGAGTGACTGCCCTGTGACCTTCAAAAGATGAAACATCCATTGAGGGGAGACTCAATTAACCCCAGATCTCCAGTTCAGAAAGCAAATGCTTTCAAGTCTTCATTGACTCACTAATGCATATCACAAGCACCTATCTCCCCCTTCTGGAAGTTATAAAGCCTTACAAGCATCTGGATACCTAAGCTGATCACTGCTTTAAGACCAAGCAATTCCAAGCATGTGAAGAACTCCGCTTTAGTTGCCTAAAATAAAATGTGTGCACTAGATACGACAACTTTAGAACAAATATCACCTCAAGTTTGTTGCTTTGTTTATTGTTGTTTTGTTGTGTTTTTTTAAAAAATGTTAACTAAGAGTTCACTAAGAAATACCAAATTACTGAACATCACTACTGGAGGAATACAAAGTAAGTGGTTTTGTTTCTCTTGAGTAGGGAGGCTTTTTTTTGTCCCAAATGAATTTTCATTTCTGAGCTTCAACATCAACATAGTCTAATAACAGCACAGCAAGCAGTGATATATAACCGTTTCTTAAAAAAACACCCAATTCTTCTGATCTGTGGAAGTGTAAAAACAAGGCTGACAAACCTGAAGTTTCTGAAAACTCACCTTATCTACGGACGCTTGCATTTTTGCTTTAATCTCCTCTAACGACAGAGGGACTTTTGGTGTTTTTGGAGTTAGAGATTTATCCTTCTTGGAATCTGGAGTCTGAAAATTATTCATTTCATTAGGAACTTGCACATACATAAAGCTGCTTAGTATACAAGATCAAGTTTTCGAAAAACAAGAACGTTAGAACCTACTGTAGAATTTATATGGAATAAAAGAACTAGCTATCACATGGATACTTCAGATAGTTTTCAAAAAGTCACAGAAGTTAAATTTGTGCTTCCAACACATTCCTCAGACAAGCAAAAGAACATTTAAGTTTGGAGTTACAACAATTAGCATAGCTAGTATCTTACACTTCTGGGCAGGTGCCTACACAGCTCTTTCTCCCAAAAGAAATGAAACTGAAAATAGCCCCACCATTCCATGATTTAGAGTTTACTCTGTAACTGCAGCCAGATTAGGTCATGCTTTAAAAAGCACACATCTGCACTGCTTTTCAGATGCTACCCTGACATCCATCCCACACTAATTTCTGTGTAACAACCTTCCTTGCATGCATGTTTGAGTACATGCAGCAGGTAAAAAGCTGCATAAAGAAGCTTGAAAACTACAAAGCAACTGAAGAAGAAAACTGTTAGTTCTCAAATGGATCGGTTAAGCAAGACTCCTTATTAGCAGCAGCACTCATCCTCTTGTACAAGCAGCTACACAAAAAACGAGACTTGTGTTTTAAACTGTGGGATCACCAATACTCAAAGGACAGCATGTCTGATTTTGAATCTTGGCTCTTGTTATATACTGATCACTAAAGAGTTTCACAGGGGAACATGAAGCAATGAACAATATCCCAGCATGCTTCATACTAAGATTCAAAAACTTAACTTAATGGTTAGTACATTATTTAAAGTTACCATTAGGCAAGAAAACCAGCTTCCGCACTACAATAAACATTTGTTTTACTCATTTGTCTTCACTCACTTTTGATTTAGATGCTGGTGTGGACGGCTTAGAGTCTTTTCCATTTTGCTTTGCTTTCTGCATATTTTTTCCTGAAGCCTCACGGGCCGGCTGAAAAGAAAGCACTTAAGTTCATTTGCCATGAAAAACTGCTGGTAAACGTTAAGCTTAACATAATACTCAAAGACTTCATGACAAATACATACTATTTAACATCAAACAAAAAAGCATTCTCTTCACCCGTGCAACATGATCAGTGTCCATCATTTAAGCAAAAAGCATGTATGCTACAGGAAGTCAAACGAAAAACTGTTGATGCAGCACAATACATTAACATAACCAAGATCAAATTTTGTTATGATGCCATACAACTATGTGGTACCTTCACTACATTTTCCTTATATATTATATCTTTCCTTATATATTACCATGCAAACTTTTTGGGGCAGATATTGCATATAACTAATTCTAGATGGCACTGCATTTCCAAGATCTGACTCTGTGCTACTTGTTTTTTGTAACGCAACCATTACCTTGTTTTGGCATTTCATACAGAAACATCATCTGCTACGTGCATGGGCAATGCCAAATGTGTATTTAAGAACTGGATTCTACTACTCCTATGTAAATCAAGGGACCCTTTCGTTCAGCCACACTGAACTGTTCACAGTGAACTGCACATCTGCAGTTCAGATTGCCTTTACCAGGCCTTAAACTACTGTGCACTATAAGCTATAGAAATTCATTAGGGCAGAGCAGCATATAGTGAAGTAAAACATTAAATGTTTGCTTCTAAAGAGCAGATATGTAAACATAAATTCAAGCCACAGTACACAAGTTCTAAAAAATTACTACCTTCTACCACTGCAGTGGCCAAATTGTCACAATTCATTTTACCACCAGATGGCACTCAAGAGCTGATGGACTCTCACATTCAAGCACTTGGCTGCCTGACATGAACCTTCTCCAACGGGCTCACACATTTAGATCCTTTTTTTATTGAAAGCTAGGTTGCTATGAAGACCTTTTTCACAGCATGTAGGACTAACTGAAACGGCAAAGCACAACCCACATCTCTAAGGCAGATTTTGTTCGCTGGCCAACAGCTGTACACAAGATCACACCAGCCTGACAATGGCACACGTGCATACGCATGCTGTTAAGAACCCAGCCACCCCTCTGCAGCAAAGTAAATCAAAGATGGATTGGATGCGCATTCACACTGAAGTGTTCTCATGTCCTATTACAATGTCTTTACACAGACTAAGCTAAACAAAAAGCATCCCATTCACACATTCCAAATAGCTGTGCTTGAACTCATTGATTTAAGGGACTATCGGCCCGATTACTGTCATAGAATCATAGAATCGTCAAGGTTGGAAAGGACCCTTAAGATCATAAAGTCCAACCATTAACCTATCACTGCCAAGTCCATCTATACCATGTCCTCAAGCACCACGTCTATCTGTTCTTTAAATACCTCCAGGGATGGAGACTCAACCACTGCCCTGGGCAGCCTGTGCCAGTGCTTGACCACCCTTTCAGTGAAGAAGTTTTTCCTAATATCTAACCTAAACTTCCCCTGGCACAGCTTGAGGCCGTTTCCTCTTGTCCTATCGCTCATTACCAGGGAGAAGAGGCCGACCCCCACCTCGCTACAGCCTCCTTTCAGGTAGTTGTAGAGAGCCATAAGGTCTCCCCTCAGCCTCCTCTTCTCCAAACTAAACAACCCCAGCTCCCTCAGCCGCTCCTCATAAGACTTGTGCTCCAGACCCTTCACCAACTTCGTTGCCCTCCTCTGGCCACGCTCCAGCACCTCGATGTCCTTCTTGTAGTGAGGGGCCCAACACTGAACACAGTACTCGAGGTGCGGCCTCACCAGTGCCCAGTACAGGGGCACTATCACCTCCCTGCTCCTGCTGGCCACACTATTCCTGATACAGGCCAGGATGCCATTGGCCCTCTTGGCCACCTGGGCACACTGCTGGCTCATGTTCAGGCGGCTGTCAACCAACACCCCCAGGTCCTTTTCTGCCAGGCAGCTCTCCAGCCACTCCTCCCCCAGCCTGCAGCGTTGCACGGGGCTGTTGTGACCCAAGTGCAGGACCCGGCACTGAGCCTTGTTGAACCTCACGCAGTTGGCCTCAGCCCAACGATCCGGCCTGTCCAGGTCACTCTGCAGGGCCTTCCTACCCTCCAGCAGGTCGACACTTCCACCCAACTTGGTGTCATTTGCAAACTTACTGTCATCCCTTACACCGATATCTAGTCCATTATAAATCAGAACACTGCACAAAGACAAGGGCACTTCAGTTAGCTTCTGCATTACAATAAATGCAGAGTTCAAACCTAAACAGCTGTCCCACTTATGCAAACACAGCTTCCCCTCACACGCTTCCGCTTTAGGGGTCTTCATATGAATCTTTAAAGATTACTCAAAATCAGGATGGTTAATTAACACCTACGAGTAAGTTAAGAGGTGTTAGCACTTGCTCCTCCTGTCTGAATAAACTTAGCTGCAAACATTAAGTCCATGTGGTGTTATCACTCGCTTCCTTTCAAGTTCATTAAACAGGCTGTTTAATCCTTCGTGGGTGAAGAGGGTCACAATGTGTATGTGTGTATATATATGTGTGTGTGTGTATGGGACTTACTTTCTTCATTGGTGTTTTCATTTCTTCCTCATCATCCTCTAAGTCATCCTCATCACTACAATGAGAAGGGTAGTCACCATAACTCAAGATTCATACTCACAGCTTTAACCACATTAGGAACTAGTCTTCCCCCTCCCCCCAATAAAATGTTTTGTTCATGACCGAAGCAAGTCATCTTCCCCAAGTCTACCTTATACCTTGTTTTAACACACTGCAAGGTGTTAGGCCAAATACTCTTACTACTGTTAAAGCACTTAAGTACATTCCCTTCTGCTTTAATACTGAAGTCATGTATCTTAAGACTTCCACTACTACCAATAAAGAAATTCTAAATCTATTAGAAGTTAATGAATTACATTAAATTAGGTTTTATAACCCAGTATGACATATTTGAATAACACTAATTTAGATTGCATTGTGGACATAAACTTGAGGTAGTTCTGCTTTTTTGTAGCCAAGATAAAGAAGCAGCTTGCTCACTTCATATCCAGTTATGTCACACGATTCGTATTCTGAAACAGTTAACCCTGTATTTCAAAATACATCAACAAAACAAGAATACATACTCATCATCATCCTCCTCATCTTCATCATCATCCTCATCATCTTCTGATAATTTTGCTTTTTTCTTAAAAAAAGATGAAGTATGTTAAGTGTCAATACCATTTTGTTTTAATAAACAGCAACCTTGATCCAAAACAATTTGCGGCATAATTACAAGACTACCACCATCAGTTTAGCTAAAAATCAACAAGTTAGAGCCGCCAAGTCAAAAGCTATTGACAAATTCACAGCATGCTCTGAGCATACGAACCTTTCCTTCTGTATTACAGAGCTTCCATCAGCATTTAAACACTTGCAGTACACTGATGGTTACACTAGAGTCTGCACACACTCCGTTACCGTAGTGGACAACACTTCCACATAAAAGTAGCCTTCACATTATCCCCTCCAGCAAAGCTTTGGAAACTATCTGTGCTTAACTACACTTCTGGTAATTTAGTACTTGTCAAGACCCAAGTACAAAATAATCCTTCCCCACAGATGTCAACAGACCACGTACGCCAAATCAGAAGAAAATTCTGCAGACAAGCTGATTGAAAGTATACATACCTGTGGTGTTTTAGCTCCTCCTCCACTTGCTGGTCTCTTTGTTGAAGTGTTCACAATTTTTGTATCATCTTCCTCATCGTCTGATTCTGGTTCTTCCTCTAATGCTGATAAAATGATGGCAATGTGTAAAAAACCCACCTCGTTTAATAGTTAAAACAAGATTGCTAGTAAGAAACAAATAGAATAATATCACCCACAACTAAATAGGCATAGTCTTAGCGAGGTGCTGAATTGATAGGAGGAAGCTTCCTACTAGCAACCTAACCACTGAGAGCAGAAACTCTTCCAGTTGTCTGTATGCAGATACTACTACACTGCAATCCAAAATGGGTGAACACCAACCATACACTGCCTCTAACGTTCCTCGCAGAAAAGCAGCCATATAAAGTTGAGAATGTAATTGTCTCCATTTCTAAGGAGACACATTTAAGAACTTCTAGAGAGAAAGATCAGTTTCAAAGACTATTCTACAAAGCAGAAGGCTAGTCCTGGCTTAGTTTTTAGTGTAAACTCAAAACTATTTCATGGGCAGTCTTCTCATTCTCAACTGATTAGCAGTTCACAGCTTTCTGCTGTGAGACACTAACACCAGGAACCTAACACCCATTTTTAAGAAGAGAAATTAGAACTGAAACTGTAAGGCTGACAAACTCTCCTTATCCGTACAAAACAAGAAGCAAGAAGAGGTATGCAAGCATTTCTCTGAACTCCTTTGTCCTACAGTTACCTCATGCTTCTGAGGGCAGTGAGTTAAAGACTCAGAGGGCCATTATTAGAGAAAGTACTGCTTGAGATACCGGACACATCACTTAAGTTCTGCCGGTGCTGACAAGGAGCAAGATCACAGATGAGTAACCAGAGTAACACATACCTACGAGATGTTGACCGCTGACGTAAACGGGCCCTGAACCACATTTCAACCTCAAGACCACTGGTGGTGTGATCTCAAAGCCACCTAATGAAACCTAAGGAAAAAAGCATCGCTAATTTATTCAAACAATACAGGCAAAGTGTGCTTAATAGACAATTCCTTCAAATGAAACCAAGAGCACCAACACCTGTAGGCTCCAAGGCCAATACAATACCCCATGCTTCCATCTGACAGAATATTCCGGAAGTGTTTAGTCAATTCAGGGTCAATACACCACAACAGGGTTTACTCCAATCTTGTTGCTTATCATAATTAAAGCACACTTTTCAAAGCCAGACCAATCCAGATTTGTTTCTACTCATCTTGGCAGAAATGCCAATTTGAACATTATCCATCGCACCTACCCCCAGCGTTGCGCAGTTCCACTTGTACAACATCAGCAACACTGATTCAAACCACATTCCAGATGGCAGGAATGACAAGTAGGGTGCTCTTAAATCAAGAAAGGGTAGCAGTCATCTTTAGAGTATCTCAAAGAGCTTGGGACCTGCAGAACACCTAGATTTTTCTCATCCCAGGCTCAAAGAAAGCAACGCAGGCTACAGATGCATCTGCTTGCAAACGCACACATTTTTATGACATAGAGATGACATGCACAATTACTATCACTTCTGTAATATTTGAACAAAAAGCCTACTACCTCCAGATGACTAGAGGAAGTCTACTAGGCACAAATATACTCATATTTAGCTTGTATTTGCTACACAGGCCAAAACTGACACTTGTCTGAACCCACTGACCACTGTGCAGTTTCACCAAAATTCAGTCAACCAAAACCTTTTCTAACTTGTCTTTCTCACCCGAGACTCAATGTATAGTAGATTTTTCCAAGTTCCTGTACTTACCGTAGGCTGCACTGACATTTTCAGAGATGCCAGTACTACTTTAATAGGGTTGCCTTCATAGTCCAATGCTTCTGCTTCTACCACGTGTAATTCGTCTTTGGCTCCAGCCCCTAAAGTAACCTTTCTCAGAGACAACTGATGCTCATTTTCTTCATCATCTACTTTGAACTGATACTCCTTATCTGCTTTAAGCTCGCATTAATAAACAGCAACCTTGATCCAAAACAATTTGCGGCATAATTACAAGACTACCACCATCAGTTTAGCTAAAAATCAACAAGTTAGAGCCGCCAAGTCAAAAGCTATTGACAAATTCACAGCATGCTCTGAGCATACGAACCTTTCCTTCTGTATTACAGAGCTTCCATCAGCATTTAAACACTTGCAGTACACTGATGGTTACACTAGAGTCTGCACACACTCCGTTACCGTAGTGGACAACACTTCCACATAAAAGTAGCCTTCACATTATCCCCTCCAGCAAAGCTTTGGAAACTATCTGTGCTTAACTACACTTCTGGTAATTTAGTACTTGTCAAGACCCAAGTACAAAATAATCCTTCCCCACAGATGTCAACAGACCACGTACGCCAAATCAGAAGAAAATTCTGCAGACAAGCTGATTGAAAGTATACATACCTGTGGTGTTTTAGCTCCTCCTCCACTTGCTGGTCTCTTTGTTGAAGTGTTCACAATTTTTGTATCATCCTCCTCATCGTCTGATTCTGGTTCTTCCTCTAATGCTGATAAAATGATGGCAATGTGTAAAAAACCCACCTCGTTTAATAGTTAAAACAAGATTGCTAGTAAGAAACAAATAGAATAATATCACCCACAACTAAATAGGCATAGTCTTAGCGAGGTGCTGAATTGATAGGAGGAAGCTTCCTACTAGCAACCTAACCACTGAGAGCAGAAACTCTTCCAGTTGTCTGTATGCAGATACTACTACACTGCAATCCAAAATGGGTGAACACCAACCATACACTGCCTCTAACGTTCCTCGCAGAAAAGCAGCCATATAAAGTTGAGAATGTAATTGTCTCCATTTCTAAGGAGACACATTTAAGAACTTCTAGAGAGAAAGATCAGTTTCAAAGACTATTCTACAAAGCAGAAGGCTAGTCCTGGCTTAGTTTTTAGTGTAAACTCAAAACTATTTCATGGGCAGTCTTCTCATTCTCAACTGATTAGCAGTTCACAGCTTTCTGCTGTGAGACACTAACACCAGGAACCTAACACCCATTTTTAAGAAGAGAAATTAGAACTGAAACTGTAAGGCTGACAAACTCTCCTTATCCGTACAAAACAAGAAGCAAGAAGAGGTATGCAAGCATTTCTCTGAACTCCTTTGTCCTACAGTTACCTCATGCTTCTGAGGGCAGTGAGTTAAAGACTCAGAGGGCCATTATTAGAGAAAGTACTGCTTGAGATACCGGACACATCACTTAAGTTCTGCCGGTGCTGACAAGGAGCAAGATCACAGATGAGTAACCAGAGTAACACATACCTACGAGATGTTGACCGCTGACGTAAACGGGCCCTGAACCACATTTCAACCTCAAGACCACTGGTGGTGTGATCTCAAAGCCACCTAATGAAACCTAAGGAAAAAAGCATCGCTAATTTATTCAAACAATACAGGCAAAGTGTGCTTAATAGACAATTCCTTCAAATGAAACCAAGAGCACCAACACCTGTAGGCTCCAAGGCCAATACAATACCCCATGCTTCCATCTGACAGAATATTCCGGAAGTGTTTAGTCAATTCAGGGTCAATACACCACAACAGGGTTTACTCCAATCTTGTTGCTTATCATAATTAAAGCACACTTTTCAAAGCCAGACCAATCCAGATTTGTTTCTACTCATCTTGGCAGAAATGCCAATTTGAACATTATCCATCGCACCTACCCCCAGCGTTGCGCAGTTCCACTTGTACAACATCAGCAACACTGATTCAAACCACATTCCAGATGGCAGGAATGACAAGTAGGGTGCTCTTAAATCAAGAAAGGGTAGCAGTCATCTTTAGAGTATCTCAAAGAGCTTGGGACCTGCAGAACACCTAGATTTTTCTCATCCCAGGCTCAAAGAAAGCAACGCAGGCTACAGATGCATCTGCTTGCAAACGCACACATTTTTATGACATAGAGATGACATGCACAATTACTATCACTTCTGTAATATTTGAACAAAAAGCCTACTACCTCCAGATGACTAGAGGAAGTCTACTAGGCACAAATATACTCATATTTAGCTTGTATTTGCTACACAGGCCAAAACTGACACTTGTCTGAACCCACTGACCACTGTGCAGTTTCACCAAAATTCAGTCAACCAAAACCTTTTCTAACTTGTCTTTCTCACCCGAGACTCAATGTATAGTAGATTTTTCCAAGTTCCTGTACTTACCGTAGGCTGCACTGACATTTTCAGAGATGCCAGTACTACTTTAATAGGGTTGCCTTCATAGTCCAATGCTTCTGCTTCTACCACGTGTAATTCGTCTTTGGCTCCAGCCCCTAAAGTAACCTGTGAAGTAAAGAACAGGACACATTCAAGAATCTCCCCAAACGTTCTGAAGTCTTTTAACCTCCATTCACTGTTTTGTGTCTTTTAAGACTGAAGTTTGTATTTCTGACTGCTAACGGTTCAGTTGCACTCCTCCCCAAGCCAACATCCTCTTTCCCCCTAACACTGGCACTTGCAAGGTGCAACTCAAGGCATGTGTTTTGACGAGAGTGAAAAGCAGAATGTTTGCTACTGGACTATTGCATCGAAATGGGTCAGTGACAAGTCCAGTGAGCACTGAAGCTGGCCCAAGGCAAGAAGTACAAACGCATGCCTAGAGGAAGGGAAACAACTGCTATCACTACTCCAAATCACAGCCTTTATCCTTCCCCTTCCTGCCATGTTTCATCTGCCAGCTGCTTAACTATCACTTACACTACACGCTTTTTGCTTACTTGACTTTCAATGAGGAGTTAACAACTGCTCAGTTCACTACTGTCATTTATGCATATGCCTTCTGCGTTAATTCACCAAGGACTGAGAGCTGCTGTCCCACAGCATTTCAGAATTCAAGTGCCTGGATTCCTTACACTGGGTACAAGTCTGGCACTTTCTGAAGATTGAAAAAGCATAGCTGCAGGGAAGCAAATGAGTGACAAGACATGGGATGGCCCTGAAATTCCAGTTCTCTGAACCTCTGGCATCTGAGTCAGGATTACACGCAAGGGATATGAAAACCAAGAATCCCTTGAATTACTACAATTATTCCTGAGACAAGAGAACAAGGCTCTCTGTTTCCTTTCTCAATGCCTGTGAAAAGAAAGCTTTCCACCCTCCATGGAAGTTGTGGGTGTAAATGCTTCAGGCAGAGGCATACAACTCAAATTTCCAGTCTCCAAGAGCTGAGTTTTTAGGCAGGCTATAACAATCCAGATTAGATGTATCAGACTGAAGGCTGAGAAATAGGATATAGGATTCACTACTCCTGGCAAGTTTTGTAACTGTAAATTTAAAGAGGTGAAATTGCTGCTCTGATCTCACCTCTCAAATGGGTTAGTAACCACACTGAATTACCCAGCTGGTGGGACTACCCGCCAGGCCAAGAATTTAAGAGCATGCCCTCTACCCCAGTTACTCCTGTCATGTGCACCAGTTCAAGCAATACTACAGCGCTTACTGTTAATTTATTTACTGAGTGTCTGGCAAGTATCCATTCACATCCTTTAATTTCTACACTGAAGGAACGCACACTGGCAGTAAATAGGTAACGAAGCAGTGGCCATCCCTCTTTATGTTCTCAGCTATCATTAGTAAAGCATCTACAGAAACCCTCATGCCACTTTCTACCTCTATGTGATCAATCCTCGTCTCCTTTCACTTTTATCCTTTTTTTCCTCCCCACCTCTTTCTGTACCTCATACCCAAGTCCGTTGCCAAATCTGTATCTTAACTGACATGTGTCAGTCAACCTTTATACATCTAGTCTTTATCAGGTGCACAGATCAGTCACCAGGTGTTTGCTACCATCACAATCTTCCATCAACTCCTCCTGCTTGCCAAGGCATTTTCTGTTTGTAGCTATGTCCAAGATCTTCCAAGCCTCTTTGACATTTCCCGTTTGTTATTTGTTGTTTCAATTCCCCTTTCTCCTCTATATCATCTTTTGTCTTTAAAAAGACAGGTTATCAAATTAGACTTTTTTCCCACAACCCTAAAAACTAAGTACTGGTATGCATCCAATCTGCTTCATCCCCCATGAAGAGCGCACAGCATCAGAAGAGATGCTATAGATAATTTTCCAGAAACAGGATCTTTGGATAAAGCCATAAAACTCAAGTATCACTCATTAAGTAATTTCATCTGCATGACATTCAGATATGAGAACTATCTGCATGGACTTGTCCTATACATACTTTACTGTTACATTCTTCCCTCAAAAGAAAAGTCTAATTAAGAACAAATTAGTCATTGCCAAGTCCAGGCTGTAATTTTCATAAAATGCAAGGACTGAAGACACATGATTCACAAAACTGTAATGCCTATATTAAAATGTTGTAAGCATCACTGAATAGGTTTGGAGAGCATTATTATGCAAGTCTCCCGTAGGAAGCAATTCTGATGTAGGAAGTAATCCACAATTACAAGACTCACTTTGTTTCCAGGTATCATCAAGGTATCTCTTTGTATTTAAATAAACACAGTAATAAACCATAGAGAGATACTAAAACTCTTCCCGCTTTCCTGTGAAGTTGTGGCATATTATCTTTTTGCTAACCAAAAGTAACATGCTCAGCCCAGAACAAAAGCCTTGAAATTGTGTCTTGCTACGACAGCAGAAAGATCTAAGGACACATCTAAAAACGCTCAGTGTACAGATCCCGATTTCCAGGGGCACCCTGCTCAGCAAAGAGTCTCTTAGATGAATTATCTGAATAAAAGACAGCATGTCCCAGTTATATCCTTAGAGAGGGCAACACTAAGGACAATAACTCAAAACAGAAATCCCCCCATTTACATTTAGCTATTAGCTGCTTACGGGGAAAAAAGCACTAGAGTTGTGTTTGGGGAATATACAGAAAAGATTTTCAAAATAAAGTTTCTAATAAAGTTTCCTAAAATGTGCCCATGCACGATTCTTATAAATCTGTCCTCCCCACTGTGCTCCTGTAGCATCTGAACTATGGCGTTAGAGATGTCAGCGTGCATATTCTGGCCTTTAACTCTGTTTAGTAGACATTTATTAACCTACCGTGAATTCATTTTTAAAATTTCCAGACTTGTATTGCTTGCTGTAAACGATGAAACATCAGTGGATATTTTAAACTTTTTTTTTCCCCCCATAAAACAAATATTTCAAGTGACATGGTATGCTCCACTCCCAAGGAGAAACGCTTATTATTTAACAGATTCACACAGAAACTTACCACTAAAAGAAACAAGTTTAAGGAAACAAATGTACGTGTTAAAAAACTCACTTCTCACAATATCGCACACCACTACTTAGAAGTAAAAACCGAAAAACCAAACAATACTTGCCGTTCTCAGAGACAACTGATGCTCATTTTCTTCATCGTCTACTTTGAACTGATACTCCTTATCTGCTTTAAGCTCGCAGCCTGTGAAAAGACCGTTTAATTATAAGCATACTGTTTCACTTAGACGCAGGTATTTGCTAACCACTTATTATTTTACAGCTTGCCGCTTCAAGGCCCTGAACTTGCACAGAAAACCAACGGCTCACGAGAAACACGTGGGGTGGGGAAAATCCCCGCCGAGCCCGCGGCCTACTGCCGGCCACGCAGCTCCCGCGCGGCCCCTCCCA